GTCATTTTTTTCTAATTAATGAAGATTCATTGAACTGGAGTGTAAGTGCTGTAAATTGTGGTTTTCAGTTCTTGCATACCTGACACCTGAAGTTTAGATTTGTTCATTAATAATGGACTGCTGATTTTGAGAATGTAGGTTTTTTTGGTAGTCTTAAGCCTTGTATAACTTTTTTGTTGTTGTTGTTTGGTACTGAGTGTGGAACCCATGGGTGCTCCACCACAGAGCTATATCCTCAGCCTTTGTGTGTGTGTGTGTGTGTGTGTGTGTGTTTTACCAGGGATTGAACCCAGGGGTGCTTAACCACTGAGTCACATCCACAACCCTTTTTCAAATTTTATTTAGAGACAGGGTCTTGCTGAGTTGTTTAGGGCCTTGCTAAATTTCTGAGGCTTACTTTGAACTCAGGAACCTTTGCCTCAGCCGCCTGAGTTCTTGTGATTACAGACATGCCCCACCGCACCTGGCCCATGCTCAGCCTTTTAAAAGTTTTATTTATTATTATTAGTAGTAGTAGTACCAGGGGTGCTTAACCACTGTGCCACATCTACCATCCTTTTTTATTTTTATTTATTTATTTGTTTGAGATAGGGTCAGGCTAAGTTGCTTAGGGCCTTGCTAAGGTACTGAGGCTGGCCTTGAACTTGCTGTCCTTCTGCCCGAGTCCCCTGAGTTGCTGGGATTGTAGGCACACCTGAAAAGCCATATATAACTTTTTAATGTTTAAATTGCATGTTTTTTCTCCAGCCACTTTTATTGTTGTGGGAGGATTATCAGTTTATCAGCAGTTATTTGAAATGGAGTAAGCCCAGTGGAGTATAGGAAGCATCTTCATCATCTAGAAATGATGGGAAATGATGTGAAAGTGCCAAGGATAATATGATAAATGAGCTCTGAGCAGTAAGAGGGCATTATGAGTAGGAAAATCAGGTATGATTTGGTGAGCTAGATATTAGAAAATAAATCAGATTTGACAAAGGTGGAGGTAAAAGGCATTTTAGGCTGGGCACAGTATCGCACACCTATGATCCCAGTGACTCAGGAGGCTGAGGCAGGAGGATCGTGAGTTCAAAGCTAGCCTCAGCATCTTAGCGAGGCCCCAAGCAACTCAGTGAAAACCCTGTCTCTAATAAAACATAAAAAATGACTGGAGATGTGGCTTGGTGGTTAAGTGCCCCTGGTTTTAATCCCTGGTACCAAAAAAAGGGGGGGTGGCATTTTAGGAGGAGAAAATGCACCAAAGTGTTGGACTCCCCTACAGAACAAGAATCAGAACTCATTTTTGCTGTAGCTTAGGTTATTAGATTGGGGTAGGGGCAGTATAGAAGATATTGCAGAGGATCTTACTTGGACCTTAATGAAGAATTTGAAGAGGAAAAAAGCTTTATTTGGTAAATTTGGGGATGTTTTACAAAAGGGATATTGACAAATTATATCTGAGGGTCGGCGAGATATATTGGATTACAGGGAACAGAATGTGGTAGAAGGAATGATGTCTAGAGGAAAGGAGATCAGTGGGGAAGTTATCCTGATATCTTAGAAGTAGAGGGCATATGTTGAGCAATGGAAATGAAGATGAGGTGATGGGATCAAGAAATACCATGGAGGTGAGCTAAGCAGGATATGCTAACATAATAGGAAAAAAAAAAGAGAGAGAAGGGAAATAATACCAAAGCTTACTATGTTCAAGCTGGATCTGATAGGCATCGTTAATAAAGTGCTAGTAACAGGAATGGGGAAGTAGGAGGAAGGATGATTTTTTTTTTTAGTTGAAGATGGACACAATACCTTTATTTTATTTGTTTATTTTTATGTGGTGCCAGGGATTGAACCCAGTGCCTCACGCATGCTAGGCAAGCGCTCTACCACTGAGCCACAACCCCATCCCAGGAAGGATGATTTTGATATGGAGAGTGGTGAATTCATATTTGGATGTTCAGAATTTGAGAAAAGGCAACATCTTGGTAAACATCTCTTAAGATTTTCTTGAAGTTTACAAGTTTGATGATTTGTTAGGATGACTCATAAATATTCAGTATATACTTGTGCTCACGGCTATGATTTATTACAGTGAAAAGATAGAAAGCAAAATTAGCAAAAGAAAAAGGTTCCAGAGGTAAAGTTCAGAGGAAATCAGGTACAACCTTTTAAGAGTGCTCTGCCAGTGAAGTCTGTAGGATGTGCTTAATTCCTCCAGCAACAAATAGTAACACTGATGAAGTGTTGTCATGCATGCCCGTTGTAGACTCAGGGATTAAGATTTTCTTTTTAATTTTTTTCTTTCCTTTCTATTTTTATTCTTTATGGCGGTCCTGGGGAATGGACCCAGACACTCCCGCATGCTAGGCAAGTGTTCTACCACTGACCTACATTACCAGCCCTTTTATTTTTTATTTTGAGCCAGGGTCTCACTAAGTTACCCAGGTTGGCCTTGAACTAATGATCCTCCTGCCTCAGCCTCTCAAGTTTCTAGGAATATTTGCATGTACCACCATGCCCAGCTATCATTCCTTTTCTTAGGTTGTTGAAGATACAGGAAACATTTTTGCTCATGCTTTTAGCACTTCTGCTTTGAGCAGAACAGACCGGCTCTCTGAACATAGTTCTGCAGTAGTTCTTGTCAGACTTTCACTAGGGAGCTTCTGTTTTGCTCAGAGGCCTTCCTTTGCTTAGGTCATTTGCTTGCTCTGTTTCTTTTTATTCCTATTCAGATGAGCAGTTTGCAGATCAAGGAAGAGAAGGTCAAACCAGATACCAATGGTGAGTCACTAGAAACCACAGGCTAGGTACAAGTGACATGTGTGTGTCTGCTTTGCACTCACAGCTGCAGCAAGCCATGACTCTTTTCTTCAGTGTAATATTTGGCAAATGCTGGAGCTGGAATTGCGAGTCCTAAATTAGAATTCATTACTAAAGGGGAATATATCAGTTTTTAACTTTTTGAAAGTATGTCTAGGTTTAAAACTCAAAATATATAAAAATATACAAGGCTTCCTTCCCATGCTGCTCCAATGTTTACCCTGTTCCTACTGCCACGTGTGTTTATTTGCTGGGCCTGCTCTAACAAGGTATCACAGAGCTGGGTGGCTTAAACCACAGCAGTTTATTGTCTCACAGTTTGGGAAGCTGGAATTCCAATATCAAGGTATCAGCAGGGTTGGTCTCTTCTGAGGATTATGAGGAAGACTCTATTCTGTTGCCTCTCCCCAGCATTCTTGTGGTGTGTTTGTAGTCTTTGATGTTCCAGCATCACCCCCATCTCTCCTTTTATTTTTACCTGGCATTCTCTTTGTGTCTGATGTCCAAGTGCCATCCCCCCATCCTTTTTTTCCCCTTTAAGGACTCATTCTTATTGGAGCAGGGCACACTCTGATCTTAGCTTAAATTTTTTTATTCTCAGTGACCCCCATCTCCAAATAAGGTCACATAATGAGGCACTAGGCGTTAGGACCGGAACATATGAATTTTGAGAGGACACAATTGTACCCATAACATATACCATCCCATAAGTAACCACTATTCCTGGATTTTGAGTAGTCTTCATCGGTTTTTTGAGCAAAGCAAATACAAATATAAATTCTCCCTTTTTTCTCCTGTCACCATCATGGTGTTTAATCAAACTTAGAATTTTTTTTAAATTTATTTTTTAGTTTTAGGTGGACACAATATCTTTATTTTTATATGGTACTGAGGATCAAACCCAGTACCTCACACATGCCAGATGTGCATGCTACCACCTGAGCCACATCCCCAGCCCCAAACTTTTATAATTTTGCCAGTCCAAAAGGTAAAAATTGTTGGATTGTGTTTGCTAATATAATGCTGTATTTTAACTTAGGATAATTCAGAAGTGATATATTAAGTTAGCTTGAATTTCTATACACTTAAAGAATTGCTAGATATAAAATCCATTAAACATAAAGAAAGGCCAACTATTTATATTTGGGTCACTTAAATAAGTTTTAGTGTTTCTGTTGTCCTACTTTTTTTATTCTGGCAGGGGATGGGATACCGGGGATTAAACTTGGGCTCTCAACCACTGAGCCATATCCCCAGCCCTATTTTGTATTTTATTTAATTTAGAGACAGGTCTCACTGAGTTGTTTAGCGCCCAGCTGTTGTTGAGGCTGGCTTTGAACTTGTGATTTTCCTGTCTTAGCCTCCCTAGCCACTGGGGATTATAGGTGTGTGCCACTTTGCCCAGCTATTGTCCCACCTTTTAAGTTTAATATTTGCCTGTTTAGTGACATGTGTTTTCTTGTGTAGGTGTTATCAAAACCAGTACCACTGCAGAGAAGACAGATGAAGAAGAGAAAGGTAACTACTTTTTGAAGCCCCATGGCAAGAGATGGAATATGCTTGCCTTCCTGGACCCAGAGGCTGAATTAGGAGATCAAGTTGAAGAGGAAGACTCAGCAAAGGAGATTGAGAAGGAGCAGTCAGTGAGATAGAGTGAAAATCAGGAGCATGATGTCCTAGAAGCCAGAGGAAGTATTACAGAAGTAGGGTGTCAGCTACGGGTAAAAAGTTGATTAAGAGAAGAACTGGAGCTGGCTGTGGTAGTACTTTTCTATAGTCCCAGCTACTAGGGAGGCTGAGACAGAAGGATCACTTGAGCCTGGGAGTTTGAGGACAGCCTGGGCCATATGGTGAGATCCTGTCTCAAAAAAGAGAAACTAGAAATTGACCATTAAACTGATTTTGTGGTGTGGAAATCATTGTTGAGCTTTCCAAGGACTATTGAGGTCAAATGGCGAGGTTTTTAAAAAAAAAAAAAGAAAAAAGCTCATTCAGTGTACAATAGAAAGGAGGGAAAGAAAGCAAAATGAATATAGACAGCTCTTTTATGGAATGTTCCAGAAACTGGAGTAGTGAACTCTAACAGTAGCGGAATGGGATTGTGAGGTAAAAGAAGAAACACATTTATGAACACAGATGTTAAAACAGGCTCACATGCTCCTAGGAATGGTCCAGTAAAGGGGGAAAGTGAAATGCATGAGAAAATGAGGAGACATACCCTTGTGGGCAGGAAAGAATGAGAACTTTCAGATAAGCAGAGGCTTAGCCTTAAGAGCACAAGCTGTTTATCTAGGTACTAGATGGGAGGTGGAGGATAGTTATGCAGATATGGGTAGCTGTGTAGTTGTGGTCATGAATGGGAATGTGGAGAAGTTAAAAAGTTGAGAAAAGAGGAGTTATAGCTGGAGGTTTGAGAAGAAGGATGAACCAGTGGACTATGAAAACAAAGACTTGCTGGGCAACTCAGCCTATTTGAATCTAGTGGTGAAGAATTTAAAGGGAGAGCAAGGCATGGTGTTGCACACCTGTGATCCAGCAACTCAAGAGGCTGAGGCAGGAAGATCACAAGCTCAAAGCCAGGCTTAGCAATTTAGCAAGACCCTAAACAACTTAGTGAGACCTTGTCTCAGAATAAAAAAGGACTGGGAATGTGGCTCAGTGATTAAGTGCCTTTGTGTTCAATCCCTAGTACTAAAAACAATAAAAAGGAGGCTTGTCAGTGTGATCATGTTTTTCTCCAGCCATGCTTGGTTGCCCAGGTGCTGGTGCAGAGGTGCAGAGGGGAAGAGTGGGCTCTTACAAGGGTGGAGTTTGCCTGGTGAGTATAGAGAAAATCTGCTAGTTTCTTCCTGACAGAGGACAGAGCTGCCCAGTCTTTACTCAACAAGCTGATCCGAAGCAACCTTGTGGATAACACTAACCAAGTGGAAGTCCTACAGCGGGATCCGAACTCCCCGCTCTACTCAGTGAAGTCTTTTGAAGAGCTTCGACTGTGAGTATCCATAGCTTTGAACAACTTTTTCTTCCCAACTACGCCCCTATAAAACTAGTACCTAAGAAATTCTTGTGAGGATTTTACTTTTTAATTTGCTTTAAATTTTTTAATGTATTTACTTCTCTGAGTAGGTAATAATGCACAATTCAGAAGTGAAAACGAATGAACAAGTTTATGGTCTCCCACCCCTTTCTTGGCTATCCAGTTCTCTTGGTTTTTTTTGAGACTCTTTCTCTTTGTGGCCCAGGCTGGCCTCCAACTCCTGGGCTCAAGGGAGCTTCCCATCTCAGCCTCCTGGGAAACTGGTATTAAAGGTGTCCACCTCTGGGCCTGACTTTCTTGGTAGAGATTTTAAATGCCACAGATTTATTCATCATAGCTGAAAGTCTCTTTTCTTTTATGCTCTTAGAACTTTCAATAAAATATTGGCTGACAGGTGATTTCTGGATATCAGGAACATTTCTTATTAGGTAAGCCCTTTTGTTAGATTGTAGGGTATATAGTCTTAAGAACAGTTTATCTGTGTATAGAAAGTCTGTGAAAAGAGCCTGGATTCTCAGTATTAGAGTGGAAACCAAATTTTATTGTTTCTAAATTTTAAGAAAAACCCAGAATCAAGCCTTAAGGTAGCCTCTTCCTGGTGTGCTGAGAAAGCCTTTTAATGTCATTATTTTAAAAGGTAGAGAATTAGGGCTGGGGATGTGGCTCAAGTGGTAGCACGCTCGCCTGGCATGCGTGCGGCCCGAGTTCCATCCTCAGCACCACATACAAAGATGTTGTGTCCGCCGAAAACTAAAAAAAAAAAAACTCTCTCCCCCTCTCTCTCTCTTTAAAAAAAAAAAAAAAAAAAAAGGTAGAGAATTATGAGGGTCATTCCACATGCTTTGTTTTCTTCAGTAAATTAATAGAATGGTATTTATGGATGATTGCTTCATGTATATGCCGCTGTGCAGGTTTTTTCGAGGAGTACATCACATACCTACCATTCTTTCTGTCTGCCAGGATCCAAATCATAGACAGAAAATAGCTGGTGAATAAGAATGTGGTGGAATAAATGGATTATTTGCCTTTGTTTAGAAAAATCTAGTGTGTCCCTCTGGGCAAATAGAGGCTAAATTCCTGTTGTCTAATACCACTGAGTAAGACACATTGAAAATAAGAGCTAACTAGTTGTTAGTGAAATGTGTTAGTCTGTTTTTTGTCACTGTGACAAATATCTGAGAAAAATAACCTAGAGGAAGAAAATTTTATTTTGGCTTACATTTTCAGAGATTTTAGTCCATGTTTGGCTGGCTTCATTGCTTTGGGCCTGAGGTAAGACAGAGCCTCATGGTAAAGGGTGTGGAGGAGGAAACCTGCTCAGCTCAGAGCAGCCAGGAAGCAGAGAGAAGGGGAGAATGGAAGGAATCACTGATAAAATATATTTCCCAAGGACATACCCCTCAGAGAGTTACTCCTTCCCCCCATGTCCCACCTGCCAACAGTTTCCGTCACCTCCCAATAGTTCATTCACAAATGTACTAATCCCCCGATGAGGTTAGAGCCCTCTTGATTCAACAGTTTCTTAAAATAGCCCTATCCCTGGACTTTGCTGCATTTGAGACCAAGTTTTCAAAATACAAGACTTGGGACATTTCAGATCTAGATCATAATACAAAGTAATTGTGAAGAACATGATTTTTTTTTTTAAGTGTAACTTTTAAGGTTTTCCTAGCCTCAGCAAGTTCGTGAGACCTTGTCTCAAAATTTAAAAAAGGGCTGGATCAGCCATGCGACCAGCACGATAGCTTCATAATAGAGGTTCGAAAGCATAAAAATTAACTAGTGAGTTTTAAAATTAAAGAGACATAACTTTCGTTACCTTATTTGCCCAGCTCAGAGACGGCTCCTCCTAGCTCCTGCCTCCAGCCACCTAATGTCGTAGCGAGGTTAACACAAGAGGCCACGAGAGAGAGGGAACACGCCAGGGATTGAGCTTTTATTGGGGAACAAAAAATTCAAGGGAAAATTCCATCCAATGAAGGTCGAGGGGGGCAGCATTCCAAGGTCAGGGTCATTGATTGGTCTTCAGGTCAGTGGTCAGGCACACCCCAACTCGGACAAGCCCTCGCACCTGAGACAGGGTGGGGAAGGCGGTGTCTAAGCGCCTCTCACCCAGCCAGGGAGGTGACTCAAATCACGTGGGAGAATGGCTTCCCACAGCTGGAGATGTAGCTCAGTAGTAAAGCACTCCTGAATTCAATCCCCAGTACCAAAAAAGGCAAGTTCTTTCTAATTCAATTGTTGGAAGTCAGAAGAAGCAAAGAACAGGAAGTAGGTCACCTAATGTACTTGGGGCTGTTATTTTGTCTTGGTACTTGGGATTGAACGCATGGGGCCTTTACCACTGAGCTACATCCCTAGCCTTTTTAATTTTTTGAGACAGGGTATCACTGATGATTTATGTAGGTCCCTGATAAGTTGCTGAGACTCACCTCCAACTTGTGATCCTCCTGCCTCAGCCTCCTGAGTTCCTGGGGTTACAGATGTGTGGCACCATTGCCAGCATTTGGGCTGTTTATTTAAAAGATTTGAAATAATCTGCAAAATAAAAGAAAAATAATAATCCAGTGAAAGCTATTAGATTATATGAATCCCAATTAGGTATGACTTTGTTCCTTGATAACTAAATAAGAAGCTGCTTTATTTTCCCAACAAAAAATACCAAGCATTTTTTTTTTTTAAAGTTCTGCATATCTGAGAAACATGTGGCAGCATTTGCCTTTTAGAGAGCCTGTTAGCCTCCAGGGAAGGCTTCCAAAACAGAAGTCTTGATGCAGTTTGACTTTTCTTCAGAAACAATCTGTTGTGGTTTTTGTCAAATGTCCTGTCAGTTTAGAGATAACAGAGAGCTCATTGTAAATGGAATGTAAGGGTAGTTTAATTGATATTCTTTTGTGCGGCTACTTATATAAGAATTTGGTGCTAGGGGCTGGGGATGTGGCTCAAACGGTAGCGCGCTCGCCTGGCATGCTTGCGGCCCGGGTTCGATCCTCAGCACCACATACCAACAAAGATGTTGTGTCTGCCGAGAACTAAAAAATAAATATTAAA